AAAAGCAGGATAGGGAATCCTAGGAAAAGCAGGCAGAAACTGTGTGATCCAAGTTACTCACAGGATCTACAGTTGGAAGGTTGGAAAGTCTCCTCCTTTTCCTGCTTGGGCCTGGTGTAGACACAGAATGGTGTCCATCATCAAAGTCCCCGCTGACACTACTGGAAGGGGAGGTTGCTCTTCTTCTTTTGGAACCCATGGAATCCAACTTTTTCTATAAGAAATAATTATCAATGTTCTTATATTTAAATTTACAGACTCTGTCACCAAACCCTGAGCTGGCCACCTAATTATCAAGCTTCTGGTTCATTCAGGAAGATAGTTTAACTGTGGCAAAGAAGCTTGACTAACTGGAAGATTTTTCAATGAAAGTCCTAGACCTTGTTGCTTTAGTCCCTTCATTTACCAAAATGCTAGACTTTCAACTTGAATAGGACAAATTCAGCAAACGTGTTCTCATTTGTATACCACCAATTACAAATGATTCAAACAGTTCTGGCCTCAAAATTACCCTAGACTGGAGCTTGAAAACCCACATGCAATGGTACAACAGTGTACTAGAAGTTTTGACCCCTCATCCCCTGAGGAAGCTAGGCAAGCCCAGGGGACAGAAGCCCCAAAGAAGTCACCTCTGGAGTAAGCAGCCTTATCTGTTTGCCCCAGTGTCTTACAATTGCGATAATTTTCCAGGTGGGCCACGAGGCGGAAAAAAAAGGAACCATGCTTGAGGCAAATGAATAGTGCAAAAATTTAGAGGGACAGAGGACAATTAATTTTCTAACATTTTAGATGCACCTTAAAATTAACACACTGAGAATGACTTTTCTCCATTCGTTAAAGAAGAACCCACAGGACATACCCCTGGAAAACACTTAAAGTGACTTGCCATACCTGTGCCAGAATAGCAAAACTGTGCTTTGAAACTTTTCTGTCACTCCAGACTAACCTCCTTTTCAGTTATAGGAGGTTATTCTATCCCTGCTAATTGTGAAATCATAACTTTAATTTTTAGTAGATCATCTGGAAGAGCACCTCAGAGGTGAGTGTTTAGATCCTGCTTCACCTTTCTAAATTTGCCCTCAGTTTCAGGCAGGTTGCTAAGTAACTAATCTTAGTACAACTTTACAAATATATACATTTGACTATTACATAAGAAAAGTTATCATTGGAATAATTTGCTACATCTACAGGGGAAGGTATATACTAGAAAGGTCCTATACTGCTTACACATTTTAACTACAGTATCAAATAGTATGTTGTGATTTTAAAGGTCTTTCTCTAACACTAGAAGAAAAACTGATCCCAGTTTCACTCACCAACATTCAATTTCAGAAACTAAGGCACTGTAGCTCAAAGAATGGGTTGCCAATAGTATGGAGAGGAAAATTGGGGATCTCCAGGGAATGAAAGCAGGTACAAAACATACCGACAAGTAAATGATCCTGGTAAGCAACTAAAAACAAGTCTCTTATCTCTCTCTTCTTTCAACAGTCTATATGGTATTTGAAAACATAGCCCACCATGAAGATGTTCCTTCCTCTAGGCTTCGACTGTTACACACTGCATTCATTTGCAATCAGCTACAACTGGCTAAAAGCTCAAAGGGTTTAAGCCAAGGATGGTCAGGTTTAGTTGATTTTCACTTATTTTATAAAAGGCTGATAAACTGTCCTCAATCATAAAGATGAAGAAACTAAGGACCAACCCTTTGTAAACAGTCTACGACATGGACACAAGTGAATTTGATAAACATGAGGAGGGGATCTTTATGAAAAGGATAATAAAATTTGAGAAAGGTGGAAGGGAAAAGACAAGGAAGAACAGAAAAGGGAAAGGGTGCAAATGATCAGTAATTTACCAGCTTTACCAGAGCACAACCAGCGCCTCGAAAAGCCAGTCTCCTCATTATGTCTGAAGGCCAAGTGAAGCCAGTGGGAGAAGGCAGAGCTTTAAAAGTGCTGATTCAGTGTTAATACATTCAAAACTGAAAGAGAAGAACAAGACAGAGAAAGGTGGGTGGGGGAAGAAGGGCCAGAAGTAAATATGGAAACTAATAGAAAACATTTGAGGAGAACTGCTAAGGAAAGACAAGAGAACTGGAGAAAATAGCCATGGTTTCTTGTGCCAATGAAACTAACGGCTACAAAGGCTCAGGCATTTAAAACACCTAACATTTCTTTCATTTTAAAACCAAATGCTTTTCACGTGCTTAAAGATGTCTCACTGAGGTTCCCCTTTACTCACATGGAATGACTGTCAATTCCAGGAATGAAGCATGCCTGCCCAAATGCCCCCCAGTCAGTGAGAGCAGAGTTCAATCACAGAGCTGGAATGGAGAGTGAACACATGTGGAGTGCTCACATGTGACACCAAGTGTTGGCAAGCTAGAACAAACCAAGAATGGCTCATGTGAGCAAAGTATGGAAAATTCCTTTCCCCCCAACATTTCTTTCCAAAAGTCCTATCAGCATTGGGCAGACTCCATATACAGGTTTAGAAAGGTTTAAAAAAAAAAAAAAGGCCTTCAACCATTTTGGCAAAAGGTCAAAATTACATTAATAAATAATCCACTCAAAAAGAAATCACAAAAAAATATAAATCATTTGGAGGAAGAGGCGTATAGCTTAGACCACGCAACATCCAAAATTCCTTGAATCATTAACTTACTTTGATGAGAAAAAAATGCAACTCAATGATAACTTTTTAATGTTTTCTTATCCAAAGGACACACTTAAAAATGTATTTAGAAATTTGGCAAGAAAGGCAATGTAGCCAGGTGGGTGGGAGCAGTAACAGAACATGAGCTCAGCAGACAAGAGCCCCAGTTCTATTATCTATTTCATATTGCTTGAGTCACAACCTCTCAGATCCATTTCTTCATTTCAACATGAGAACAATAAAGTGTACATATCTCCCTTGGATTGCTATGATAGTGCAATTTATGTGAAATCACTTTGAAACTTCAAAGCACAACAAAAATGTTAAGTTTCAACTTTAGAATTGGTGCTCCCTGGGCACAGAAACAAGTTTTTATTCATTTTGTAGCTTTCACTTATAGAATAATATTTGGTATAATGTAGGTGATCAATTTATGTTTTTAATAAATGTATTAAAAGACCACATAATGGGACACTTTAAAATGTTTTGTGTAATTTAAAAAGTCTATAAGCATCCTTCAGCAATTCTTTTTCCATGAAGAGTAGATTCCAAAGCTGAATTACGTTTTAAAATGACATTTTAGACATGGTTACGTGCTTAAAAGTCTAATAACCAATGATCAATTATAGTAAAGGATAACTTTGTAACTCATAACTGGAAAAATATTTACTCAGTATAGCCAACCAGTATATTTTGACAGTTGATAAATTTTAAGTACTCTCCTGTATTACTAGTGGTACTTAATACTGTAATACATGCTTAAAACAAAAACTGTGGAAAACATGATTCAAAGGGAAAACAATCACTTGTAATCTTATTTCCCAGAGAAAATCCACCCTTAACATTGGCTTTCACAGCTTTCAGTATTTATTCTATGCCTTGGTTGCCTTTTTCTTTTTTTTAAACAAGCTTTAGCAAACCGTGTGTATTTGCACCCTGTGTTTTACCTTAGGGAAGATTCTTCCAAGTCAAAATTTTTCCATACGATTCCTGATGGCTTGATAATTGCCTAACGTACAGATACACCAAAATTTACTAATTCTGGGGATTTGAGTAGAATATTAATATTTGAGGTATTCTGGGCACACTCAAAGCCAAAGAATGTGGTCAAGACACTTCAATTTATCCACACACATATCTGTTACTGTTTTAATTTGAAACACTCCTTCAAAAGATATTTTCCAATCTTCCTTTGAATCTTAAAATATGGGCTATCTGTTAACAAGTAATAAAGCAAATATTATAGTACTCTCATATTTATATTGAGTTTAGTTTGCTTCAACTGATATTTGGGAAAGAGTGCACTTCTAAATAAAAAAAAAACCCTAAAAATCATCTTTGAGACCTACTTTAAAATAAGTTGACAAAAATGTTTTACTCCACCATCTCTTTCTATAGTTATGATAATATTCTCTATGCCCACTTATACTGTGCGTGTCACTTGTTTTTCAGGTTTTGCATTTTTGTCAATTTTTCTTCCCCTTTAAATCACCAATACTTACCCTATAATGATAAAACTATGCTTTAAAGTAAAAAATTTTTGAGATGGAAAAGTATTAAAAACCAGAAATGTACAGTTTAAAGAACTTCCATTCTTTGTGGTGTTACAAACAAGAAACTTAAATTTACTTGACATCTACTATAAATACAAGTCCCACTGGTAAAAATACTCCCTCTGAAGTTATCCGGAAAACGTTAAAAAAAAAATCACTACTAGAGTTTGCGTCTGAACCGTCAAGAAACAACAAAAAAGAAGGCCCTGACCTCCTTTCTCGATCTGTCACTGGTATAGGCGTGGGGAGAGAACTAAGGGAAACGCTGACAGCTTTGCAGCTGTACGCTAGGAGCAATCTGCCAGCCACCCCGGGCGGGAAAAAGGGGCGCGGGAGTTTTCGGGCCGCGGCGCGCCTTTGTCCCGTCCGACAGGTGCGGCGAAGCGGCCAGGCCGGTCGCGAAGCCCGCCGCCTTGCCCCGCCCCGCGCGCCTGGCCTGACCAGCGCGTCTCCACAGTCGGGGCGGGGCCTCCGCCACTGCTCCCGCCCGCCCGGGCCCACACAAAGGCCCGGGAGCCGGCCGAAGAGGAACGGCCCCGCCCGTCCCAGGCCCGGCCTTACCCAGCCGCTCCGCCGCCTGCAGCCCCGGCCGCGGTCCCCGACCGCCACGCCCCGCCCTGTGGCCGCCACGGCTGCTGCTATTGCTCCTCCGGCCGCGACCGCTGCCGTCGCTCCAGCACCCGCCGCCCTCACCGCCCTCACCTCCCTCACCCCTCCCGGTGCCGCCGCAAAACCAGCCCTGGAGCCGCCAAGCGATCCGGAGTCCGCGCGACACTGCGTGCCCGCGCACGCGGGCCGACGGCGGCGCGCTTTACGGCGGCAGCGTGCGTGCGTGACGCTCGCCTGTGGCCTCAGTTCACACGTGGTACCTGCGGAGAACGATTGTATTCGGTGATCTTGGTGCTACTGCTCGTCTCATATCTATTATGAAGCGGCCGAGTGAGTGTTGTCTTGGGTTGGGCGTGGACGGGCTCCTGTCTCTGATGGTCGGTGAGCCCATCAGAGAATTCTTCTGACGGTTGATCTCTGAAGCAATGGGGTCCTGCGGGTAGCCTGTCCGCCATTGCGCTGGTACCGCGTAGAACCGAGAGTTGGAAGGCACAATGTTAATGGGGGGCCCATGGTACAGAAGGGGATGTTGGGCCCCCAAATTTCTTGATGAAACAGCGTCTGAGGCAGATTTAGGGCAGCTTTTTTTCCGTTGTGAGGCCACGTTTAGGCCGGCCCCAGTGAGGCCTAAGAGTCACTTCTTAAACTCACTTTTCGCTAGTGATTCGTGGTTGACAGGGAGTGGCTGTCGTCTTGGGACTCCTGCACTCCGGAGTACGATCCCAGTCTGATACGGGAAGAATCAGGGAGGGTAGTTGGGCTCTATTCTCCATCTCAAATCAAACTGATTTGAGAGTGGCGAGTGTATTTCTGTTACGCGCCCCACAAGATCATTAAATTACTTTTGAGAGCTTATTAACTACTTTTTAATAAAAATTTTATTTATTTATTTTTAGAGAGGGAGACAGAGAGAGAAACATCAATGTGCGGTTGCTGGGGGTCATGGCCTGCAGCCCAGGCATGTATCCTGACTGGGAATCGAACCTGCGACACTTTGGTTCGCAGCCTGCGCTCAATCCACTGAGCTACACCAGCCAGGGCGTCCTTATTAACTATAACTACTTAAAGAGGGAGCTCACCCCAGAGTGAAGTCACCCAACAACTAAACTGAATTTGAGTCTATTCTTTTTGTGTGTGTGGTTTTGTTTTTTGTGTTTTTTTTGTAGAGTTAAAGAAAGCAAGTAAACGCATGACCTGCCATAAGCGGTATAAAATCCAAAAAAAGGTAAGCCTCGTGCTTGGGAGAGCTCTACCAAATGTAATGCTAAACCGATTCCTGCCCCGCTTGTCCTCCAACAGGAGGTTTGGATTACTGTGATTCATGCCAGGAAATGGAGATTGCATGTACTGACCACAGTACAAGCTCTTTTCTCTTTTTTTTTTTAAATTGATTTGAGAGAGAGAGAAACATAAATTTGTCATTCGTTGATTCTTATATATGCCATCACCAGGGTTCAAACCCAGTCTTGGCATATCCAGACAACACTAACCAACTGAGTTTACCTGGCCAGGAGAGGACCATCTCTTGGGCATCAAGAGTGCGCTGTGGGAAACAGTAATTCAGTAATAAAAGCTATAAACTTTGATCAACGTGTTAACAGTCTTTGCAAAAAGAGTCTCCCAGTAACATTTTTTTGCTGTTTTATACATAAATAGGCATCTGTATGATTACAATTAAAGTTCCATTTTTTTAGATCATTTTGCCCTTACAACAAAATTGCAGCCAGATTGGTTTCTTACAAAGATTCTGTTAAGTATTTTTGTAAACTGGTAAAAAAAAAACAACTTTCTATTATGATAGGTTCGGGAGCACCATCGAAAATTGAGGAAGGAGGCTAAGAAACGAGGTCACAAGAAACGTAGGAAAGAGCTGGGAGTTCCAAACAGTGCTCCCTTTAAGGAAGCTCTTCTTCGGGAAGCTGAGCTAAGGAAACAGCGGGTAAGCTGCAATAGCTGAAATTTTCAACAAGCAATGTGTGGGGGGTGGGGTTTTTTGAAGTAAATTAACAGCAATATTAAGTCACTTTGGCTCACCCATTTCTCTTATGATTTGTATACAGCTTGAAGAACTAAAACAGCAGCAGAAACTTGACAGGCACAAGGAACAGGAAAAAAAAAGAAAACTTAAAACTAACCCTGTTGAGCCATCTAATGTGGAACCTGTGAATGAGGTACGATTGAGTCTTTATGAATTGAGAGATGAGTTTTGATGTAGAAGAAAAGCATATAAACAGGGCAGGAATGCTGTGCCTCTTAGGAAGAAAAGGATTGAGTTCAGATACTATTTAAATATCCATTGTAGTACTCCCAATCAGCCATGGAAAATGGAGAAACTGGCTACAACTGCTGAATTTATAATATTGTGTCCTTTTTTTCTTTGCCTTTATCCTTTAGGAATTTGAGCAATGCAAAGCTAAGAACAAAGCCAAGCCTGGCAAACAGAATCCGAAGAAGTTGTACTGTCAGGAACTTAAAAAGGTATTTTAGTCTAGGTTTTCTAAAAGTGATAATGATGTTTAAAAGACTAGAGTCCTTTTTTATGAAACAAAAAGATGCAGAGTTCAGTTGAGCTGGAAAAAGCCATTCATAAGAGCTGAGCAAGTAGGTTGATTCTATTGAGAGCCTTTCTGTTGTTTGACTGAAGAAAATATTCTTGTGCGTTTTTTTTTACATGGGAACCATTACCCATAAGTATGATTTACAAAAGTGATAAAGTAATTCTATGTTAAAGTAACATGTTGACCCAGTGGTTGTTAAGAAAGTAAATTAAAATAAAGGTCTCAAAAGCAGCAGTCCCCAGCCCTTTTGGCACCAGGGACCCATCTGGTGGAAGACAATTTTTCCACAGGCAGGAGCGGGGAGAAACAGTGAGCTAACTTGCCTGGTGCTCACCTTCTGCTCTGCAGCCTGTTTTTAACAGTCCTGTACCTGCTCTAAAGTATTTGGTAGGAGATCAAGGGGATGTCTTGGTGTAGTTAATCCCCAGCACTCTCGCCCCAGCACCTGTTTTCCCAAGCTCACTCTCCTCTGTGAATAGAACTTGACCATGCTTCTCAGCAGCTCTTGGCAGGTCCTAGTTCACTGGGAGAGTTTTATATTCAGACAGTGGGGGTGTTTACACTTTTGAAATCTTTGTTAATGAGCAGCCAGCAGTCATTTCATACCAAAGTGAAGAAATGAGATCCAACTCTGAGCTCACCCTGTTACAAAGTGGATAATGGCAGTATATTTGTGTGGAGGGTGTTCTCAGATAGTTCCCTGATAGTTTTTACCTTGACAGGTGATTGAAGCCTCAGATGTTGTGCTGGAAGTATTGGATGCCAGGGATCCTCTTGGTTGTAGGTGTCCCCAGGTGGAAGAGGCCATTGTCCTAAATGGACAGAAAAAGCTGGTACTTGTATTAAATAAGTCAGGTGAGCAAAAGGGATGCTCTTTGCGTTTCATGTGCACTGGTGAGGTATGAGGAAAACATCTGAACAGTCTGATTGTCACTGAAGACTGAAAGATCCAACTCTGACCTCAGTAAAGCCAGTGCATTTACTCTCTTCTTGCCAGACTACTGGGCAGAGGGGTGGAGGTTTTTGACATTCCATGCTTAGCACCTTTTCTTATTTAAGAATACGAGTTTTCGTAGTCAGCTTAATTATACAGAATACATGGTGCGGCAGAAGTAATGCCTGCTTGACTGTGGTTGGTAGGATATGTGATGTCTCGCACGAAATGGACAGCAGTTTGAACATGTCACCTAAAATGTCCTATGGTGTGCTTGAGTGTGATACTATGTTACAGAATTACATGTTTATGATTTTGTAATAACAAGGGGGTATTATTTGTGACAGACCCTGCATTTTACATAGAAGTGATGGCTGTCATGTTCTCTGCCGGAACAATGTTGATATGTGACAATATTTAGATGAAATGCATAGTTAAATATGTCTGGGTTTGAGCAGCAGGAACAGGAAAACCCAGAATAGAGACCTGTGAAGCAGAGAGTAATAATGAGATCTGTAATTACTGTGTAGTCAGTAAACATGGCTGCTACCTAATAGCAAATTCTGGAAATAAAGGCTTAGGGCAGTAATCTAGAGGTTGACTTGATCCTGAAAGAGTAAACAGGACAGGGAATTGAAAAAATATGGAAGTATACATACTGAACTCTTAAGGACAGTGTGGTAAAGAGCTTACCTTCTCTCCATCCACATAAATCCTTTTGGCGGCGGGGGGGAGGGGGGGGCCTGAGAAAAAGCAAACCAGGGTGAAATCCATGGTTTTATTAAATGTTCAGATTCATCTCAACAGAATGACCAAATTAGAACATGTGTGTTTCATTTCTAATCCCAATCAGATTTGGTACCAAAGGAGAATTTGGAAAACTGGCTGAATTATTTGAAGAGGGAATTACCAACAGTTGTGTTCAGAGCCTCAACAAGTCTGAAGAACAAAGGGAAGATAATCAAGGTACCCTTTACTGTCATTGGTGGGAAATGTGCTTCTTTCAGATTTTGGATGGTTGAAATATGATGAGTTATACAAAATCTCGATTTTAAAAAAAGTGAGAATGTATAAGATCCAACTCTGAGTTCATCCAGAGATAATCTGAAAGGCAGTTGTGTGGTAATTTTAATAGCTGGGCCTTGGAGCCAAATGCTTGAGTATTACATGTTGGGTTGTCAGAAGTAATTAAACCGTTCGCAATTTTAATGTGAAGAAGATGAGGAGAAAAGTTCCATTCAAAAGTGAAGTCTGCGTTGGAAAAGATGGCCTTCGGAAACTTCTTGCAGGTTTTCAAGAGATTTATGGCAAAGCTATTCACGTTGGAGTAATTGGTGAGTTTCAGTTTAACACAATTTTATGTCTTAATCTCTTATATGCCAAGTTTTTCTGTTAGAGTATATGGGGTTGCCCTGGCTGATATGGGTCTGTAGGTTGGAGCATCATCCTGTGCACCAAAGGGTTGGGGGTTCAGTCCCCAGTTGGGGCCCCTGTGGAATGCAACCAATGTTTCTTTCTCCATTCCTCTCTCTAAAATCAGGAACAATTTTTAAAATATAAATAAAGAAAACAGTGTATGGGGTAGTTGTTAAATGAGTGACTTGTTCCCTGGCTGGTGTGGGTCAGTGGATTGAGTGCCAGCTTGTGAATCACAGGGTCACTTGTTTGATTCCCAGTCAGGGTACATGCCTGGGTTGTGGGCCAGGTTCCTGGTGGGGGGGTGTGAGAGGCAACCCCACAGTGATGTTTCTCTCTCTTCCTCCCTTCCCCTCTCTAAACATAAATAAAATCTTTACCAAAGAGAAAGATTAAATAAATAAATGACTTGTTTTAAACATTAGCTTCTTGTTCACTTTACCAAGCACACACGCAATGTAAACACAAATTGTACATAATTGCACTCCCCCTCTTTTGGGGGGGGGGTGCCAGCTGGGCTCTGTAGGAAGTTGGCTTCTTAAAGCTCTTGGTTTATTTGAGTTAATTGTCTTTCCCTGACCTCTCATTACTTGTGCAAGAAATGAGGATACTAAGATTGGTCTTAGTGTTAAAGTGAAGACACTTAGATCCAACTCTGATCTTGCCTTAAACATCAGGCAAGCATAAAGTAAAACAGAAATGTAATAATAACCACAATTTCTATTTTATCTGTGAATTTACCATTTGTAGGTTTCCCAAATGTGGGGAAAAGCAGTATCATCAATAGCTTAAAACAAGAACGGATATGTAATGTCGGTGTATCCATGGGGCTTACAAGGTAAACTGAGTTGTTCCGTAATTGTAATACTTCATCACAGATGAGTAAATACAGTTTTGTTTTGGATATATTAAGGGAGACAATTTCCCATTTTTTTTCTTTAGAGGTGTTAGTGAGAGGAAGAAGTTAAGCCAGTGCTAGACTTGGAAAGAACTGGGATGGAGTAGCTGCTTACAATTTGGTTTCAAAAACAAGCAAATGGATTCAGAGAGGGGGAAAGTTCCCTCAGGGGAAATAATGCTTGAACCTGGCCTTAAAATGAACAGAAGTCTGCCAGCTACAAGAAGAGGGTGTTTTTGGCCCTGGCTGGTGTGGCTCAGTGTACTGAGAATGGGCTGTGAGCCAGTTTGATTTTTAGTCAGGGTACATGCTTGGGTTGCGGGCCAGGTCCCCAGTGGGGGCCACGTGGGAGGCAACCATACATTGATGTTTCTCTCCCTGTCTTTCTCCCTCCCTTCCCCTCTCTCTAAAAAAAGAGAAGGTATATTTGGCAGAGGAATCAGCATGTGTTCAGCAGTGTGTAAGCTGTAACATGTCTGTGTATAGAAGGGGAGGGATTACTGGTTTTAGATAAACATGAAGCAAATGATGATAAACTGGATCTGACAGACCATGCTGAGTTTATTCAATCCAACCCTGAGCTTCATGTTCTGTCTCTTGTCCTCCACACAAGCAGACACCCTCACCAATTACCGTCTTGTTCCAGGAGCATGCAGGTTGTCCCCCTGGACAAACAAATCACAATAATAGATAGTCCAAGTTTCATTGTGTCTCCACTTAACTCTCCCACCACACTTGCTCTGAGAAGTCCAGCAAGTATTGAGGTACTAAAACCAGTGGAAGCTGCCAGCGCAATCCTGTCCCAAGCTGATACTCGGCAGGTAAAAGAACCCCTTACCATGAGCTCTATTTTCTTTTTCATTGTGAGCATTTTAAGTAGAATATTTTCAATTTTATAGCCACAATACATCAGGTGAATGACAGTTGTTTTTTTTTTTTCTTTTAAGGTAGTACTGAAATTCACTGTCCCAGATTTTAAGAACTCTTTAGAATTTTTTACTTTGCTTGCTCAGAGAAGAGGACTGCACCAAAAAGGTGGAACCCCAAATGTAGAAGGTGCTGCCAAATTGCTGTGGTCGGAGTGGACAGGGTAAGGCTTCTTTCTCTTGGCATTTGATTACCACCAAAAATAAAGGAACTGATTTTTGACAACTCGTTTTTAATATCAGTGGCTCTTTAGGCTACTATTGCCATCCCCCTACATCCTGGACTCTTTCTCGACATTTTAATGAAAACATTGTGACAGACATGAAATGGGGCTTTAATCTGGAAGAACTGGAAAAGAACAATGCGCACAGTATACAAGGTAAGCAAGGCTTATGTTGGCTGTCTTCATCAGTTGACAGGCCTATTAAGGTCTGTTTATACGTGCTGTATTTCTTTCCTAGCCATCAGAAGCCCTCATTTAGCCAGTAGCATCCTTTTCCAGTCCTCGGGTCTGACAAATGGAATAATAGAGGAAAAGGACATACCTGAAGAATTGCCGAAACAGCAGCAAGGTGGAGAGGACTATGAAAACATCAACAATGACCAGGAAAGTGTTGATGAAGAAGCTGTTGTAAGTATGATGTCTGTGAGTTGTTTACACTGAATTAAGTTTTCTAATATTATAATGTACAACAAATGAGAAGGGGCTCAAGATAGAAATTAAACATTCAGAACAGATTACCAAAAAAGCTCCACACAATTTTGACATGTAAGTCTTCCATAGTTTTAGTTTTGTTAATTCCATTATGTGTATCTTCAGAGGCTTTTTCAGTTATGTAATTATTTGGATTAATGAGCAGACACAAAGGCTACTAATACAGTACTTTTTCATTGTCCCACAGGAAAAGAGTTCAGACATGTCCCCTCCAAAAGAGGCTTGGGAAGCACTGCCTGAGGAGGCTCAAGCAGGTGAGTTGGGTGGAGGGGTCCTCTAACAAATCAGTGTGGTGTGGAATTGTTCTTTAAACAAAACAAAACAAAACACTTTTCTTTCCTCCAACATAGATGAACAGTCTGAGCAGTCTTATATCTTGGATAGAGTGCCTGAAGAGGAAGATGATGCTTATAACTTCACTACAGACTATGTCTAATCAAACTTTGTCCTGCTACGTTTTGTTTTTTTTTTCCAACATTTTGAACAGTCTGCTAAACTGTTCTGTATGTGTGATATACCATTTGTTTCTGATGTAAGCTGTGTAAATTTTGTAAATATGTATCATCATGAAATATATAATTTTCCTGGACACACAAATAAACCAGGTACCTATTGAGAAATGTAGGTTTCATTTTATTTATAGATCAGGCCACAGGTTACAAACTTAAAACCAAGCAGCAGCTTTGAACTAGCTGTACCAGCCTTATCAGTTCACCATCTCTGGTCATTCAGCACTACGGTAAGCAACCACTTCAAATACATGTAGTCCATCATGGAAGCTGACTGCCAGACAGTGCTACTTGTCTTCTTTACCCAGTTGAAATGTCCCTTTTTCCATGGGTGCAAGTGCCACACTTGCTACTTCCCACACGTACTATGTTCCAGGATTTCCCGAGAAAGGCTTATAGCATAAATTATATTTTACTTTATATTTGAGATTTCCATATGTCTTCGGATTAGGCTGAACTTGCCTGTTGGGTCAGGAATGTACCATTTCTCCCAGACATCAGTATATGAAGCAGTTCTTCCCCATGGCTTAAAGTGTCCATTCCAATGGAGTAATTTGGCAGCTTTGACAAACTGGGGTGAATATCGTTTTCCAGCACTGGAGCCTTATATTGAAAGAAAGAGACTCAAGTGATGTACTAGTCAGACACAAGAAAATGCAACATCAAAGTGGGAAAAACTTGAAATGATAGACCCTGAGGATAGTCCTTTATTAAGCTCAGGCCTTTGGTTAATTATTCCTACTTACCAAGGTGGCGGACATTCCACATTGGGTCAATGGTGGAGTGCTGTTGATAAAATACGATCAACAGGGGGGGTGTTGTGATGCTGCCAGCAAGTGTTCTGCTATACAGTCCCTCTCTTGAACAGATGACAAATGCAAGCTGTTAGTGAAGAATCATGACTAATTCCTGTTGAAATACAGCTAGGGCACTTTTATACTTACTCTACATTGAGTCTCATCCATTTTTCCAGCTGGTTGGTTATATTCTGTCTTTTCCATTCTGTCAAGTTCGCAACAAAAACTCCAGGATTAAATGAGCAGGTGCTGGCTTTCATAGAAAGCTTACGAATTCTTTCCTTTTTATAGTCAAGATATCCAATATAATTGTACTAAAAACACAAATGGGATATGTAGTATGTCCACTGCTTCAAACAGAATAGGTACATGCAGCCATGCACCGCTAACAACAGGGAGATGCTCTGAGAAATACATCTAGTCCATGTATAGCCTATGGCTCCTAGAACCCTACAGAGCATGTTACTGCACAAAACAATACCTGATTACATCGAGCACAAAAGAAAGTGATACAAAGAGTGCAGTAAACATGAGATGTATGCAGCTGCTGTGGGTGTAAAGGCATACTCAAAAAGGAAAAAGTACACTTTATTAATGATAAACATAGTAAGTCCATAAACTAGTAAGTCCATAAACCAGTAATAGTTATTATCAAGTACTATGTATTGTTCATAATTCTATATGCTATACCTAAATGTGCACAGTAGGTTTGTTTATACCAGCATTAACCACGAACTCAGGAGTAATACATCATGCTTTGACATTAAGATGACTACATGTTCACTGTGCAATAGAAGTTTTTCAGCTCTATTATAATCTTACAAGACCACCAATGGGTATGTGAAGCAGTTACGCAGCACATGGCTCTAATGTGGCAGCCAGTAAAGAGAAGAGCTATTATTAAAAACTGTGACCAGATTTATTAGTGAAGGGCTCTACATATAAAGCAAATAAAAGTGACATTTGAGATTCCAAGTTAGGCAGAATAGGAAACCTCTAGAAGACAGGCTTAAGTTTTGGGGTGAAATAATTGAAGACTGTAATGCAATAAAAAAGTTCCCTACCTCTTGCTGTGGCTCAGTATGTTTTCCTGGCACTTAGTGTTTCTCCCCATCTCCTCTCTAAATAAAATCCTCAGAAAAAGAATTCCCCAATTTTGCTGCCTCTCCACATTAATCTGCTCTATAGGGAGTGGAGTGTCTACAGGGCTCTAATAAGGAATTTACCTGGTTTCCAGCTCCACGGATGATAACTTTAGTAGAGGCTGAATCACAATCTTCTGAAAATGCAGCTGCATGTCCTGGCTTCAGTGGTGTATTGTAGAGGGCAAGAATATCACCTGAAAGACAGGGTATAAGATTTACATTTTCATTTGCCTCAAGATTCCCTATTCCTCCAACTTATTCCTAGGATGAACTTTTGCAGGATACCATAAATAAGAATACTACAGCTCACACAAGACAGCGAACAGGGGTAATGAATGACATTCTTAGATACCTTGCACAATTATGTCATCATCCATATATATGGCTTTCTTTGCACTGGGAACCAGAATAGGCAAGTAGAACCTTGCAAAGGTTAACTGCAAGAAAAGGAAAGGGATTGGCATAGGATTCAACATTCTCTGTGTTCTTATTTACTAGAAACTCCCAGAATGCTCAGTACTCATAGGAGAAGATAGCCAAAGATCACTTAAAATGCCCAGGCATGGTCCCAGGAAACTGCTTGCACTGTACCCAGTTACTCAGTCATTTTCTAATACTCCCACATACAAGCAAGGATGCATGGAACTCACTGGTTTTATGGACTCCCCCTGGTCAGGATCCTCCTTTACTTTCCCTTCCAAAAGTTTAGTGTCAAAAATCACAATTTTATACCTGATGCTTTTCAGGGTACTGCTGCTGAGCCAAGACCTAATGAAAATAAAACATTTCAGTTTTAAATCATGTCCTAAAACCACAGCCTTATTTTTTGTGCGTCCCAAAGAGAAACTCTAGGGCCAAAATAGGTGTGTTCAAACCCCTTCACTTCTAAGCCTTGGTTTCCACATCTGAAGAGAGTACTCCAAGAGCCAAGATTCTATAGTAACAGGTACTGCTCTCCTCAGGCTCACACTTTTGATCATTCTTCTGACACTAAACTTGTAGAAAAACATTCTAGTGTCTATTCAACTCTTGTCCCTCCAAATACTTGGGTGAAGAAAAGTCAAAGTAGGATGGCAGTGAAAGCTAGTTATCAACCAAGCTGGTAGTTAATCCACAGACATTAACCCACTGTGACAAATAATTATTCTACCAAAGTCTAATGTACTGCCTGTAATGAAAGTTGTTTCCTAAAGTACTGTACATTTTCCCTAGGTCCATTTCAATTGTTTTGTGGACAGTTATTTGTGTAGTCATTTATTTTAGGTCGTTTCTAAGTTTTGTGGGGTTTTTAAAAAGATGTTATTTACTTATTTTTAGAGAGAAGGGAAAGGAAAAGAAGGAAAGAGAGACAAACACAATTGGTTGCCTCTTACACCCCCAACTGGGAACCTGGCCTGCAATTCAGGCATGTGCCCTGACCAGGAATTGAACCAGTGACCATTTGGTTTGCAGGCTGGCACTCAATCCACTGAGCCACACCAGCCAGGGCTGTTTTTAAAATATGGGAAAATAACACATAAAGTCACAAGGACAAAAATGTTTTAGAACTTTGACAACTATTAACCTGTTAGACAAGATGTTTCTTGGAATAAACTATAAACCTTAAAGCATTTTTAAAGCATGGATAAGACTATCCCTCAATTAGGTTTCTATTATTAATCACTGTAATAATAAAAACCATTTAGTGAGTGATTATATACTAGGTGTTGTTTTAAAATATATTTTCTCATTTAGTTGACACAATAATCCTCTAAGTTGGATATTTTCACCCCATACTTACAGATGAGGGCTCCAAAGAGTTAAGTAATGCTCCTCTGTCACTGCTGGCTAGAATTTGGATCAGTGTCTGTGCCCAGGTCTCCACACTACCTTGCCATTGCTCCCACATCCCTTCCCACACTAGACAAGAGCTACTCAGAACGTGTTCATGAGACAGGAACTTGTAACAGGATATAAATCAAATATTGCTTCTTTCATTGAAAAAACCTTATTACTAAAAAAAAAAAAAAACTACCAGCTGGAGTTAGCAGTGTATGTGGTGACCCAGTTGACTTACATCTTAAATTCCTTATATCATTTCTGTTATCGTGGGGACATGCTTATAATACAGTAACATGGAAAAACATGTGCAGTTTGTATGTGGTATAATCTCAACTGTACAGAGAAAACACATACTTAAGGAGCAACCTAGGAAAAATCATCAGGCAAGCAGAGCTCACCGGAGATGGTCTGCTGTGCCATTGAGTGTAACAATGTAGAAAATGACATTGCAGCGAGTGTTGTGCTGAATGCTGTTTATGGCTGCAATGGTCCCCCCGAGCCTATCTTCAGATGCAGCAATAACCACAGGAATCTCCTCTTGTCTCCAGTCTACCACAGGACGGGGAGCATTTGGGATAAAGTCTATGGGCTGAAGCCCCACAATTGCTGAATCTGCAAAGAACACACATAAGAAAGGTATTGTGATACAAACATAATCTTATAAAGTATTGACATAGAGCACGAGACTAGAAAGGAGGTGATAATTATGCTTATTTACCTCATTCTTCCCCTATTACAATTTGAAGTATAGAGCCCAGAAATCGTGTTTTATAGACTTTTGGAAAAGCAGAAGCAGCATTTAAAATAAAAAATAATAGATTTATTAAAAAAAACAGGTCAACAAAATTTTCATACACTACTGATGGGAATATAACAGAATCTTTCTAGCAATTTTTGGCAATTTGCATAAAGAGCCTTAAACAGGTACATGGCCTTTGGCCAGTAATTTCTCTTGCCTCTCTTAAGGACAAAATCTGAGAGGTAATCAAAAGCCACAATTTTATTTACAATTGTGAACACCTAGAAACAAACTAAAAAGTTTTTCAGACCATGAACAATGTCCAATAAGTAGACATGAAAACAATTTAGATTATGATCAGAATTTACACAGAAAAAGAGTTCCTAAGTTGGAATAGAACATTAAATTAGAAAATATCAGAGTGCATTACACATAGCAACTACACATATATTGCTTTGTAAACCCTTTTTCCCTTTTATAATATGTCCATTTATTTATTCAATCATTCATTAAACACTGAACACCTATTATGTGCCAGGCAATTGTTGTGGACCATAGCCATGAATAAAACAGATGGATCATCACCATCGTGAAAGGCAGATAGATAGCACATACACATGTATATGGGTGTGCTATATGTAATGCATTTCTTATTGTGGGGTTGCCATGATAAGGTCAAAAAGTCATTGTACCAAAAGACTTTTTTCTGTGGAAACAAACTATGTGGCATTCAAGTTACACATCAAGAGTTTCTACTGTCATGGTGACCTACTTAAAACGTCATATGTGCAGCTTATGCACAGTATAATTTCAACTATAGGAAAAGTATAGATAGGGAAAAGAACTAGAAGGTACTAAAGTCAAAATTTTAATAATGGTTATCTCTAAGCAATAATCATTTTATTGAGCACCTCCTATGTACCAGCCACCACCCAGAAGCACAGGAGATAAAGCAGTAAACAAAATGTCCTTATGGAGCTTGAGTGCTATCTTTCCTAATAAATGTTCCCACCAGGAGCAGGTATAACTTTACGTACATACAAGGGCAGGCGAAAGTAGGCATTCGTATAGAAAATACAACAACAATAAATAATATGAGAATAAATTTTTTTGTCTTGTGTACTCACAACTCGAAACCTACTTTTGCCCACCTTATATATATATATATATATATACACACATATGTATAAATACACACACACATACACACACTGTTACATTGTAAACTTTGCTATTAGAGCACTCAGGAAAAGTCAGGGGGAAGCTATTAGTTTTTTCTTGCTCTGGTCAACTATGGTGTGTGGCAATCCAAAAATGATTTTTAACAAACTCTCTGAAGCCTCAAACATCCCCCAATACCAATGTAGAGCAGTACAAACAAATAATTTTAAATAACTAGCAACGGAATTATATAATAAAACAATTTTTTTAAAAAATTAGTTGATAAGGCTTTATGGTTTTATTTTACTATATACTTGAGTGCTGCTAATGCACTTCCACAGGTTATAGGAAAGTAACAGGTAAAGGAAAGTAACCAGACTGACCCTCTAGTGAATAGAGCAGGCATCAAACATCAGTGACACTCAACTGTCCCCACCTTCTGAAGCCCTGGTCTGCTGCAATGTGAGCAAATAGCAGTAGCTCACAGAGGCTCCTCTCTGGCCTCTGATTTCATGAAGCATCTTCTGCCAGATCAAACCCTTAGCAAACAACTGCACAGAAGGGAGAAGAAGCAGGAGTGGGAAGGCTGCAAAAGCATAGTGAGTACCACCATGCCTTATCCCAGAGCCATTAGGAGCCTTTGTAAAGGCCAAGAAGAAAGCGTTCTCTTTTTTAACCTAGTGATACAACTCAGGATGTGGGACACTGGAAACTCTGGATCCTCAACAGATGTCAAGTGTTCCCATACCTGAAACCTCATTCTTTAGCAAACTGCTCAGGCCAAGGAAGTTATGGTGCAAAACCAGTAAGAAGAAAACAGCAGCCAGGACCAAGATGACGACGTTTACTGAAACACAGAGGGGAAAGCCTGCATTATATTTCTGTACCTTTTGACCAGGAATAAAAACATAACTTGAGGAAAAAACTTACCTTTACGGAATGACATCCTTCTTTTATGTCCTACATAAATACTAGTTATTAACCCTACAAAACAAAATCAAGTCCCCAAAGTCAGAAGATACATGAGAATAGCCATCAAAATACCTAAACACTTTTATTCAGGTAGAAACAAGAAGTGCATACTTTCAGCAAAAACTCATTTTGAATTAGCAGTTTCTAAGAACTCAATTTGGAATCTGAATTTTTATGGTAGTTATGATAATAAAATACTTCCAGATAACTTGAATAAATAAGATAGCTTTACATATTATATACCTCTAGATAACAAGCAAAAGAAATTCTACCAAGAGGAATACCTAGGGTCTAACCACTGTGGAGGATATAGTATGAATTTCTACTTAAAACCGCTTGTTAAATTAAGTAGTCAGTTGTCCATTATAGAGTAATGTGAGGTCAGCCTCACTGGTACAAAGCACCCCTGTTCTGAGTTGTCTCATTCACCTTTAACTTGAAGAAAGGGGAGGAAAGAACATTTTCCTCATTTAAAACTACAGCATAGAAACAATGACAAAAATTCACAAAATCCAATTTTGCTATCAAACGTTTAGAGTACAAAAATACTAACAACAAAAAAGTTTAGAGTGCTATTCTTAAAAAATCAAAATCTAAAAGAAAAAAATTAGCTTCTCCTCTGAGGCTTATGCTCCCCAGCTCATCTCATGACATTAACTCAATGGAAACAAGAACTGTAGGTGGTACTAACACTATTAGATATCTATAATAATCTCTGGGTAAGTCTTCCTTAAAAATAGGTATTAAACAACCAGGATACTGTGATCCTACATTTGAGACTTTTAACCTTTTCTGCTTCATCTTCTCCCAGAGAGTACCTAACATTTACAAAAGGCTATAAATTTAACAAAGCATTTTTGAATACAGCATATTTCTCCAGTTATTTAAATTAATTTCACCTTTAAGTAAAGTGTGTGCATATCAGTTACTTGATGTCTCAAGGCCTTTGAAAACAGGAGAAATATACTGAAGGGCTCTTGAAAAAACTGGGGATCACAGGCCAGATTACAAATTTTGGAGAAAATAATTCAGACTCCCCAGGAATAATCTAAAATACTCTTTGTATCTTTCCTCCTAGAGCAGTATATGTAAAGTACATTATATCAATGAACTTCCTCTCCAAATACACTGTAAACCATGTGCTTCTGTCACATTTGTGTGCTGAGCCTTACCTATGCAAGCTGGCAGACTGGGAGGTGCTCAGACAAAGCTGTGACATCTGCCTGCTTGGAGCCAACTTCCACCAAGACTGGAGACAACTACCTCACTCAAATAAATCTCATTTAGTTCATGGTAGAAGGGACAGTGTTTTAGTTTAACAATGTCCAGTAACGGTTACTTACAGGTAGTACGTGAATCGAGAGGCACATGTGCTTGTGCTATTCCAGTTAGCCAGACACATGAAAAACACAATCCTAGCAGGTACCTGATGTACTCACTAACCTGCCCTGGGGGTACCTTGAATCCTACCGTCTTTGACCCTTACGGACAACATCGCATAGAGGCCAGAGAGCCTCCTGGGACGCATAGGCCCGGGTTCTCCAGAATGATTTCTCTTCGAAATGTGGGCACCCAACTCGTTCAGAGTAACGGGTGAGGGGCCTATGTTTTTGACACAGAGACCGGCCTTGAGAGACAGAGACAACCTTTGGCTGGTCTCTACCAGGAGGGCCCAGTGAAGTCAGCTTGAACATGCTGGTAGGCCAACTTGGAGACTCCGGGATGGGAACTCTGTCCGCGCCGATCTAAGGGATGGCCAAGGACCGAGTCCCCTCTCTGAGGGGATTCTTTTCTCTCGAGGACACGGCCTGGGGTAGTCCCTTCTAAATTCTAGGGGTCAACAGGGCCCTCTTACGCTTAGGGGTGCCGGGGGCTGTGATGCTTCCAGGGTTCCTCTTAGCCCCAGAGAGACTCGGGATACCGGCCAGCTGTGGCCCTTAAGACGCTCTCCGCGCCCTCCCTTACCTGCAACCGGAGAAGGAGCCGCCGCCCGCGCCCTGGCCCGCCCCGCCCCGCCAGCTCAGCGCCCGCGCTGCAGGCCCCGGGACCTAGTCTGCCGCCGGCCGCCCGCGTTCCCTGCTCTCCGGACCAGTCCGGCCACACGCTTGCTCCCCTGCAGCCGCGCAGTTCCGCAAGCCCAAGCCCGCCTGCCTCATCTACACAGGGAGTCACACCTAGCAGGCGCCACAGGGCAGCCCCAATGCCGGGGTCCTCGCCCAGAAAAGCCCGTCACCATGGAGACGGGGCACGCGCGGATGGCCGTTAAGTCGCTGAGGCGCAGTCCAGGACAGTTTGAGGGGCTGGGGACGCGGCTCCCAGCACCCAACAGCACGACGGCGAACCCTTCCCCGGCGCGCAATGCCTCGACTCGGCCGCGGTCACCACCTCAGCCTTCGCGGGCAGTGCGGCGGACCCCAGCCAGCTCCGTAAGCGCAGGACGCCTGGCGATGGAGCGGGGCGGGGCCTCGGGCCGTCCGGGTTTGCCTGAGACATCCGCTTCCGGGGCTGCGGCCATCGCACTACCCGGCGCGGTAGGCTTGTCCGGCTGTTCCCGCGACCGCTCACCAAACCCTGAGTCGCAGTCGCCCTCGCCTCGCTCCCGGACGCCCTCGCCTCGCTCCAGGACGCCAGCCCTCCGCTGCCCACCTTCTCGGCCAGTCATGCTGGAGCATCTGAGCTCGCTGCCCACGCAAATGGTGAGGGTGCGCTCACCTTGGCTTCAACATTCGCGCGCCGCTCGCCTAGCAGCCCTCGTGCGAGACCCACCAGCCGCGTCGCGGTTCCTAGCCCAAAAGTTTACCTTGTACTGTTCCCCGATTTGTGCCTTACATCCCTTTCTCCGCTAGAATCCCCCCTGCCAATACTCCATTAGTATGCTCCAGTTCCCCCGGGAAACCCAGCATTCCATTTCTTGCCCAGGTCCTTGGGGTATCCCCTGATGATGGGGTTGCCCTGTGCCAAGGCTGTGAGGCTGGGGCAGGAATTTTATCTCTTCGGTGGTGGAACCAATTCCTGCTTTGCTCTCCTTCACCTCTAGGATTACAAGGGCCAGAAGCTAGCTGAACAGATGTTTCAGGGAATTATTCTTTTTTCAGCAGTAAGTATTGGCTTTGCACGATCTTTTCCTATTTTCTTCTCCTCGACCCCCAGCCTGACTGTATTTAATATGCTTTGTTTCTAGATAGTTGGATTTATCTACGGGTACGTGGCAGAACAGTTCGGATGGACTGTCTATATAGTTATGGCTGGATTTGCTTTTTCGTGTTTGGTAAGAAGTCTGTGGGTGTTTGAATGTCAGTGGCAACTTGGGTTGTCTGAATTGGATTGTTTTGATTGCACCTATTAATGAAAAACAGCACAAACTTTTCACTCATCCTTTCCATCAGTTTCCCCTTGCTATCTCTGGAGAAGTAGAATGCCTGTTAGTGTTAGCTGAAGTAAGCCGTATAAAAAGGATACAGCTCATTTATTTTGGCAGCTGCCACAAGCAGCAACCCCAAGGTCAAAGTTAGCAGGATTTTGCTCCATCCTCACTACTGTTTTAGCTCTTAAAATCGTATGTGCAAACAGTGAGGCTTGTTCCTATCACTTAGAGAGTCTTTCCTGGGCAGTGGTACCAAGTTTTCATAGGAATGTGTGTGTTGTTTTTATCTTTAGAATATAAGTCATTTGGGAACCAGGCATTATACATGATGTGCAATGGCTATAATTGGTACATTTTCTCTGTTCTGGCCCAGCTGACACTTCCTCCATGGCCCATTTATCGCCGGCACCCCCTCAAGTGGTTACCTGTTCAAGACTCAAGTGCAGAAGACAAGAAACCAGGGGAAAGAAAAATTAAGAGGCATGCTAAAAATAATTGATTGGGAGTTTTCATGATTCAGCTTTACTATTGCACCTGCTTTTGTATTGTGTGAAATGAGCTAAGTTTTCACACCCAAAACACGAGTTAAAAAACACCTATGGTACAGCTGTGTAAAGATTTTGTTCTGTTTCACTTCTCAGTTGGGCTTTGATGTACACATATTTTAGAGCTCTTCATAATCTTTGAAATAGAGAACAGAAAATACAAATATGCAAAGTTTCTTTCAAATCTACAAAAGTAATGAGCATATGTCTCAAATGATAGTAAAATTTAATTATCAAAGATTTATATTTCATTTTGTTAAGCTGTTTTAATATTTTCAATTAAAACTCACAGTGCAAGTCTACGTCTAAAGAGTCTTATTTTGTAAGCAAGACTGCTAGTAAAAGCGGAAGCTAGAAGTTCATGGTTCTGAAAGTGTCAGTAAGCCTCATTTATATTTTTGGTAACTTCCAGTTCCTAATATAATTCTTTTTTAACAACAGCAAGTACCTAATGAAAAAACTTACTAATGTAAATTTGTGGTAAAGTAGTATTATAGTGCTAGTAAAATAAGTCTGTTAAGCAGGAATCATTTAATTATGCTTTACCCGAGGTGGACTAAGTGAAAACCTATGAAGCTATACCTTCCTTTTAAATTTTCCAGAGAGCTGAAGGGAAAATAATCTAAAGGTTTTATGTGAGGGATGGGAGGGTTATTGCAGATAATATTCGGTTTCTCAGTAACAGGATATAGGACTTCCAAACTATAAGTTTTTTAAAAAGGGAACACAGACCTTAATATAGCAAAAGTCAGGAAGTTATTTCTTAATCCTTACTGAAGAGTGTGTTTTAACTTATTTTTATTTTTAGAGAGAGAGGAAGGGAGAAACATTGATAGGTTGCTTCCTATGTGTACCCTGACCAGGGACTGAACCTGTAACCTAGGTATATGCCCTGACTAGGAATTGAACCTGAAGCCTTTTGGTGTATGATATGGTCCTCCACTAAAATGCACCCAGGGCAAAAGGAAAGTTTAAAAAAGAAAAATTATGAAGACAAATATATAGACCAAGTATATCAATAAGTATAAGGTAATTTAAAAGGTAGGAGCTCCCAAGTAGGGTTAAAAATAAAGTTACCTCATGTTCTCAAATGATACCCAATGGTTGAAAACAGGACAAAGATATACTAGGCAAATGTAAGCAGAAAGCCGGGGTAATAGTGAAAAAAATCGTATTTGGTATCAGAAAGCATTGAATGGGGCAAAGAGGAACATTCATAGCTGCCAAGATGTCACTGTTGTGAATCATGCATTGAATAAGATGTGAAATGCATAAAGCAAAGAATGTTATTGATAAAAGTTTGGCAAGGCTACACTTTTTTTTCAAAAGTAAAAATTCAGTTTATTCTGTTTACAACACAGTGCACAAGAGGCAAAATGTTTCACATCATAGATTTCACTTCCAGCTCCTTGGAATGTTCATTTCTTTTGGCTAAAAGGAGACACTATATGGGAAAGCCAGGCGATGCTGGGGCAACTGAAGTAAGGTCTGGACAGGAGCAATGCTAACTAAGACCATCCTCACAGAGGTAGGCATGGGGGCTATTAGTCGCAAAATGATTTTCTAGAATCGTTAGCTGGAAGCACAGTAGCACCGCTCCTGGATGCTAAAGCCGTCTCAGGCCTCAGTCATCCCTATCACAAAGGTATGGCAGCACTTTCTCCTAGTTACCCTTGGTGCCTTGCTAGATGTGATACTACATTTTCAACATGTCCACTTCACTGTGGGAGATCATGATTCTGATCAAGATCTTATCGCATGTCCCCTTGCCCTTCATGGAGTCATACAGTCTGTCACAAAATACAGGGGCTTGTTCTGGATGCCCTGGGCCAGGTTCAGGAAAGCATTTTCCAGGTCTCCCTTGACTTCCTTCTTGTTGCTCTCCAACATGTTACAAGGACTGTAGTTCTTGTACCTTTCAAATACTATCTGGAGGTGCATGCTGCACTCAGTCATGATGCTGATCCACTTGGGAACATCAGTTCCTTTCCTCTTCACTCCAGCATCATAGAGATCCCAGGCATCTTGGTCAATCAGTTCATGATCAGTGACAGCCATCTTTGGCTCTTTCACCCTTCCTGAGGGCAACCATTAGCTTGCGGAAGTCACCAGATGTGTTGGAAACAATGTCCTTCTCCATGTCTGTCTTGTACATTTCCTTGTAAACTGTTTATATCCTGTAGCTCTTGGTTGGTCCTTGAGCAGATGATCTCAATGAGAATCTTCATCAGTCCCCAGCCCCTTCATGGAGGTCCTCAGCTTGGAAGCATCATACTGAGCAGGGGTTTTTAATAGGCCCAAAATCACTGTTTCCAGGTGGCTGGACAAAGCTGACTTCAGCACTGATGCAGTTCCTTTTCAGTCCTCTGGTAGGCAAAGGCAATATCCTGTCTCTGTTCATTGCTGCAGACAGTCAAAATGTTGACAATGGTGAGCTTAACCACACCTTTGGTCTTGGTGGCCATTTCAATGCTCAAAACATCCTCGTCAGCATCAAAGTTGGTATAGGCTTTGACTGACCTGTATCGTATGCATTTGGGGGTGTAGAGTGATCACCTTCCAAGCTGAGCTTGCACAGAATTTCATGAACAGTAGACATTTTGAAAGAAGCTGGGCCAGGCACTGAGAGCTCTGAATGTCCCCACATGCAGAGCCAAGCTACACTCTTGGTAGGAGACCAATACTTTACTTCTGAGATTTTGATAGATCAAGTGGACAGATGATTGACAGGAAGACTTTAGCACTTGTTCCCAGCACTTGGAACATTCCCTCAGATGCATGACTTGTTTTTTCCATTCGTTCAGTTCTCTACCCAAATGTCAATATAATGAAGAATTTCCTGCTATCCTATAAAAATAAAGCGGTATGCCCCATCATTCTATATCCATTTAGCTCACACTATTTTTCATAACATTTAATATACCTCACAGTATGTATGTATTTGTTAACTGTCCTCCACAGATGAAGCTCCATGGGCACAGGGACCTTGTTTTACTCACTGCTACTTGCCCAGTACCTACAAGAGTATGTGACACCTCATAGTTGTGCATCAAATATTTACTGAGTGAATGATACAAAGCTACACTGTCCAATACGGTGCCACTACAGTCACATGTGCCTGTTTACATTTAATTAAAACTAAAAAATTGAGTTCCTCAAACTAGTCACATTTCAAGGGCTCAAAAGCTATGTATGACTGGTGGTTACCATGTAAGACACTGCAGATAGAGAACATTCCATCACAAAATGCTATTGATCAGACCCTACACAAATTTGTGTAATATTTAATAGTGACTGTGCATAACGGAATTCACCTCTATTGAATGCTCACATTACTGGCTATTCCAATGATGGAACATGTACTGAGCCACAGGGAAACAATTTTATGAAAGAGGTCTTGCAGCTCACATTCAGTAACACTGCTATACAGCTGGAGTGAGCAGACAGAATTTCCTTGGTTCTCTGAACACATGGAAATTAAGAAACTTAAGAAATCAAAACCAGAATTATTTAGAAACTAATGACAGAGTGTGGCCAAAGGTATATTGAAGAAGAAACTTCAGTCTTAAAAATGTGTTTCATAATTAAATAAGGAAGTTGAGAAATTATTAAGTATTTAAGAAACAACCACAAAATAACAAAAAATAGGATGAAAACAGTGAATGTTTAAACAATAAAAATATACAGAATTGGAATAATAAAGTATGCAGAAGATTTTTTAATTCTAAGAGATCTAAGAGAAATGTATGTAAAACTTGATACCAATAAATTAGGAAACTTAAGTAAATGAATGACTTTCCAGAAAGATGTTGATTTCTGAAATGTGCAAGAAATGATGAATAGCTCAGGAACATGAACAGTTGGCCAAAGATCTACCCCGAAGCGGGCATTAGGACTAGATGGTTTTATAGTTGAGTTCTAACGAACCCTTCAAAATAAAAATAAGAGGTCTCAGAAACTAGGCCATGAGCATGGTAAGGACAGGGAATAATGTTTTATTCATCACTATATTCCCAGCTCCAGGAAAGTGACTGGAAAGGGAACTTTTCATTATAAAATATTTTATGTGTGTGTATATTTTCAAAGAAATACATTTTTAATTATAAAAGCAAAACACTTCTGGAGCAGAATTCACTTTTAGAGTCCCTTGAATACAGAAGTGAAAATTTACTAATCAAGATTTATTTTATAAAAACTGTTTCCTAGTTGGGCAATACCCTTTAAAACAACTAATAAAATAAATAACATGTAAGCGTACATTTAAAACATGGAAAGACAACCAGTATCTTGATGTACAAGAAGCCGAACTTCAGGAGACAAATATGTCCAACATAACTAAAAGGAGCTGGACTTTATATACAAATTGCTTAACTGGAAAAGGAATAAGTATTTAAGAAATGTTTTCAATGATGGAAAAATAAGTCTAAAAACCAACATATTAACACAGTGTTACAAAGTCAAAATATCTATTAGTATACCTGAAGAGGTGCATATTACATGGAAATAAAATGTTCAATGTCCATATATGTAAAGAGGGAATTCAGTTGCTCAAGTACTAGATACAACTTCATATTCTTTAAATTTAATCCCAGGATCTTGAATTGACTTTTTACAAAATAATTTATCAACTACTACTTAAGGTTATTAACAATGACAAGTAGTATCACTGAGCATATTATTTCATTTATTTCTCCTATTGCTTTAATCACTATAATAGAATATAAAACTTCCAATCCAATGCTATATGATCCAGTATTCAAGCTAATTAGTACCTTAAAAAAATAAAGTTCTAGATATAAAGTTGGTGGTTTAAGGCTCAGTAAACAGCAACCAAAGTCCTGGATTTTTTTCTCACCAAAAGAACAAGATAGCCAAAGTTTGTTTCTTTTGGGAGTTTGCTTCATATTTGTTCTGTCCTATTATTTTTCTAGTAATAAAAATAACCAAAGAGATACAAGGCTTGTGAATAGCCTCCAGCCATCATTATAAGTTTCTGTTTAAGCCAAACACCTCTGAGTATAGGTCTTTAGTTCTGGCAGCATATTATAATAAATTCTCAGAAATTCACATTTTCTTCAAAAAATTTCAATTGGCGAGCTTTCACACTGTAAGTTGCATACTTTTCACCCATGTGCTCCCGCAAATGTACCTATTTGGAAAACATAAAAAGAAAATAAGTATGTAGTAGAAAAAATATTTCTGTAATCTTAGAATAGCTGTTCTAAGCATGATACCACAGGTAGAAATCATATCGGTAAATACTAATAGTATATTTACATAAGAATTTGAACTTCAAGATATTAAAATGTAGTTGTAAAAAAATTAAAGAGCAAACAATAAACTAGAGAAAATATTTTTAACATACATGCCAAGGAATACCATTAATATATAAGGAGCTTTTAGAATCAATAAAATACTCAAACATCAGAATTTATAAAGCAAAATCACATAGATAATTCAGCAAAGGCATTTACAGAATATAACCAATTAACATATAGAAAATTTAATTTGACTAGAAATCAAGAAAATTTACTATGTGGTACTATGTTAAATGCTTGAAATTAACAGATGCGCTCAGCAGATGTCATGGAACTCCTCATACAATGTACTAAGGACAAAATATCAGTTCTGAGGTGCTCCTGTCAAAAATGCATAATCTGTATCTACATGAGGTCAGACAAATCAAAACTGAGAAGCATTTTATAAAGCACATGGTCTATACTCTTCAAAAATGTCAAGATCTGCCTTGGCTGGGAGGCTCAGTTGGTTGGAGCATTGTCCCGTACACCAAAAGTTTGTGGGTTTGACTCCCAATCAGGGCACATAACTAGGTTGCAAGGTTCAGTCCCTGGTCGGGAGGCAACTGATTGATATTTCTGTCTCCCTTCCTCTCTCAAGTCAATAAACATATCCTCAGGTGAGGGTTAAAAAAAAAGTCAAGGTCATAAAAAACAAAGACTGAGCAACTGTTTTAGATTAAAGGAGATATAACAGCTAATTGGTTCCATATATGGCATGACAGCATGAGGAGATCTGCAGACCCCTCAGTGAAACTGGGAAAATTTATTTTTAAAACCAACCATTTGCCCTGAGTTGGGCATCGTCCTGAAAATCAAAAGGCTGTGGATTTGATTTTTAGTCAGGGGACATGCCTGGGTTGCTGGCTGGGCCCCCGGTTGGGGGTGGGCCTGCAAGAGGCAGCTGATTCTCTCCCTCTCTTTCAGCCTCCCTTCCCTTCTCTAAAAGTAAATAAGTCTTCTAAAAAAAGAAAAATAAATTAAAAACCAACAATTTAAAGTCTATGGAAATTGTCCTATGGGCATACAGCAAATAAAGCCACATTTTTTCCCCCAAGAAAATTGCTCCAGACCAAAAAGTGAAGATTCCATGCTGGGTGAAGCATCCTTTGAAGACCAGAGAATGCAGACCTTTCACCCCCTGAGCTTTTAAAGTGAGAGTATCGGTTGGAAACAAGCATGCTAACTGCCCTCACAACCAGCTTCAGAGCTTTGCTCAGAGATTTTGCCTGGGGAATCTTTTCCTAAATGAGCTGACTTCATTTGTAACAGACTATGCAAAAATTCAAGCCTAAGAGTGCTCTCAAAAACAAACAACAACAAAAAACACAGGTAGTGGTGAATGGCAACTGGGAGGAGATCGGTAGATTCACTGGATACATAGGTTAAATTGTAGGCTACTTTAACAGAAAGAAACAAGAAGTTTGGAGGAGCCTTCCTGGGGTCAGAAAAAATCTCAAACATCCCTTCAAAAGAATCTGAATTTGATCAGATCAGTCTGTAGCACAAGGTCTGCTCCAGAGCATTGTTGAAAAAGGCAGAGCAATCAGCTGGCAACTAAAAAAACTTAACAGCTGGGTGAGGTCAGAGAAAGGGAGTGTGTCAAGAAAGCTCTCCCAAACCCACTGTCATTCCAAGGTGGACATGCCCAAGGCTGTACCCACTGAGGAGCAACATCAGAGGCTTCATGGTGGGGAAAGGAGGAAGGGGCAAAATATATTGCACTAAAATAACCCAGCTAATCACTAAACAAACAACAATAACAACCCTCACTCCCAGGGAGGCAGGTATCCAGAGTTGTAAAAACATATCTCAAATTGCCAGTGTCCAGTAAAAAGTTGAGACATGCAAAGAAACAAGACAGTATGATACACACACTAGGGGAAAAAGTAGGCAAAGGGAAACTGCCTGTGAGAACAACCAGATGTTGGATTCAACAGAAAAAGACATCAAAGTAGCTATTATAAACATGTTCACAAAAACTTAAGAAAACATGATTATAGAAGTAAAGGAAGATATGATGACAATGTCCTGTCAGATAAAGAATACTGATGGAGAGAGAGATATTATAATAAGAACAAATGGAAATTCTGAAGTTAAAAAGTGTAGTAACAAAATAAAAGATTCACTAGAGGGGCTCAACAATATATTTGAACTGCTGAAGAAGAATAAGCAAACTTACAAATATATCAATAGAGATTATGTAATACAGAGAACAGAGAGAGATGAAAATGCAGAAAATAAACAGAGCCTCAGAGAAATGTGGCACCATTTTAAGCACACCAACACGTGTGATGGGAGTTCCACAGGGAGAGGAGAGAAAGGAGCAGAAAACACTTAAAGAGGTCATCACTGAAAACCTCCTAAACTTACTGAAAACACATCAAATCCCCAGGAAGCTCATGAACTTCAAGCATGATCAGCTCAAAGAGACCCACACACAGACATATTAAAGCAAAAGAGCTAAAAGCCCAAGACAAAGAGAAAATCTTGAAAACAGAGGAAAATGACATCACTTCCAAGGGAACCCAAATAATAGTCACAGCTGACTTAACATAAACAATGAAGGTCAAAAGGCAGTGGGACAACATTCAAAATGCTCAGAGAAAAAACTTTTAACCAACAATCAAATATCCAGTACAGCTATCTTGCCAAAATGAAGGCCAAACACATTTCCAGATAAACAAAAACATAATTTGTGGCTAGCAGACGGTCCTTATAAAAACTACTAGCAGTTCATCAAGCTGAAAGCAAGAGACCCCAGGCAGTAATTCAAATTACATGAAAAGATAAACAGCACTGATAAAAACCATATACACGTACAAGGTCTGCCCAGAAGGTATCCAGGCATGTAATATGAAAAACAGACATTTATTGAAGAAGATAAGATACAAGAAACATTGTACATAGGACAATGACACTTCAGTCCCCTTCAAAGTAGGCACCTTGAGACTTCACAGAGTTCTCTCAATTGCCATCAGCTACCCCATCACATTTTCCTGAATCTCACTGATAGTCTGAAAGCTCTTCCTTTTCAAAGGTGATTTTCATTTTGGGAAAAACCAGAAGTCACAGGGCACCAAATCTGGGCTGTAGGGGTGCTGAGTCACCTGGATGATTTGATGTTTTGCCAAAAAACTCTATACATGAGACTTTATGTATGAGCGGGCATGTTTTCATGATGAAGCTGCCAATCACCAGTTACCCATAGCTGCTGCCTTCTGAATCATCCACATAGTTTCTGTGGAGGAATATTCAAACTTAACGCAAAATCTGATACAGATTCATGGTTCTACTCACTCAGCCATTTTGAATGTAGACAGCCACACAGTACACATGCTCACTCAAAGGCGTCTACAGCCCCCACTGACTAGTACAGTGAAGTCATCATTGTTCATGCATGCACATTCCAGTCCACTCTCCTTGGCTGCCAGGTTATATCGATATCACGCAAACCATTCATATATTGCTTCTCCATTCTTCCCTAAACTGATTTTAAAAGCAACTGTACACTATAAGATGTATAGAAGATGGCAAAGGAGAAAGTAATAGGAATGCATCTCAGATAGCAAAAATTGTACTAGCAGAATTTACTTGATGTAACTATTTTTGAACTCTGGAGAGTCTTTGAAAGGCTTGCAACATCCAGGGGAAGGTGTGATGGTGACTAATTTCAGCTCTTAGTACCCTCCACCCTGATAGCAGGAAGCTGTGCAGATGTTCCGAGAGTATCTTTCACACAGCCTATAGGAGCCAGGCAATTAGAACTCTGTCCTCCAAGTACAGGGGGTCACTATACAGATAGCTGATTGCTGCTTCTGTTCATTGAGGTGCAGACACAAAGGTAGGCAACTACTGTTGCAACCCTCACTGACATTGTTACAACCTTCTCCCCCTGCAGCAGAAGCAACTTCCAAGGAATCTGCAGTGCAGGAGTCCCAGGAGAAGAGAAAAAGGAAGAGAGATTATTTGAAAATAACAAAAAGTTTCCCATTTAATGAAAACCATGAATTTAAACATCCAAGTGGGACATAGTAAAGGGTAAATGAGTCAAATATATGATGACAGAAGATTTGACTTTGAGTGGTAAACATACATTGAAATACACAGATGATGTATTATAGAACTATACACATGAAATCTATATAACTTTATTAACCAATGGCACCCAATAAATTTAGGGTTTTTTTCTGGAGGCCAGAAGTCACTGGGAAGATATTTTCAAAGTGGAAAACAAAACAAAACAAAACCTGTCAACCAAGAATCCTGTATCTGGCAAATATATCTTTCAAAAGGGAGAGAAAAAAAGAAATGTTGCCATTTCAACAACATGGATGGACCTTGAACACATTATGCTAAGTGAAAATAGGTCAGATAAAGATAAACAGTATATAATCTCACTTTATGTGGAATCTAAAACAACAACAACAACAACCCCAAACTCATAGAAACTAAGAACAGACTGGTGGTTGCCAGAGGTAGGGGGGATGGAGGGTAAGGGAAATGCGTAAAGGTGGTCAAAAGGTACAAATTCCAGTTATAAAATAAGTAAGTTCTGGAGATATATAACATGATGACTATAGTTAACAATATTGTATTGTATATTTGAAGTTACTAAGAGTATATCATCAAAGTTCTTACCACAAGAAAAAAATTTTAACTAGGACAGTTGACAGATGTTAACTAATTAAGGTAATTTTGCAAAATATATATATGGAATATATATCAAATTACTGTGCTGCACAACATACACTAACATAATGCTATATACCAATTATATCTCAATAAAACTGGGGGTGTGACAGGACATAGCTGAGCAGCAGCTATTCTTAGGTAGGAGCTGACCAGCAGC